CTTCTCTAAAAATATAATATTTAGTTGCCTTATGAATAATTTGTCCAAAAGTATAATATTAACAGTTGAGTAATTTAATAAAATTTTAAAATTATGATAAAAATGAAAATGAATAATGATTTAGTTGCCTTACGAATAATTTGTTCAAAAATATAATATTTCACTTTACACGTAAAATGGCAAAATTTGGTACCAAATAGATATATTTATCCTAAGGCTTAACACAATGATTACATTAGAAAAATACGGCAAAAATAACTTCAATAGACACACGACACATGTACCCTTGTTTTATTGTTCGATGCTTGTGGTTGCCGGTATCCTTTATCCAACGGCTATATCCAGCCCATGTGATTGTGGGGTCTCATTTTCAATTATTTATAATCTCTCTGCCACTATTTTTCTTCATTGTTCACTTCAGTCTCTACTCTCAAAGAAAGATACCTTAAGAAAAAATTAAGAGAAAGATGCATTGCAGAAGCGAGTTTACCGTTCTATTAATTTGCATTGTGGTAGTAGCTGGTGTCGGCGCCCAAGCTCCGGAGGCCGCGCCCACTAAAGCTCCACCGGCAGCGGCTACTCCCGCCACTGCTCCTGTGAGTAAACCTAAAACCCCAGCTCCAACCGCTGCTCCTACTACCTCTCCACCAACTTCTTCACCACCGGCTGCGGCTCCGGCAAAGTCCGCAGCAGCTCCAGCTCCATCTAAATCTGCTCCGGCTTCTTCAGCACCAGCTGCGGCTCCGGCGAAGTCCGCAGCGGCTCCAGCTTCTTCACCACTGGCTGCTACACCAGAAAGTTCTCCTCCGGCTCCAGTCCCTGTGAGCTCTCCTCCAGCAAAATCTCCCCCCGCTGCTGCACCGACAACTCCTCCGGAGAGCTCTACCTCTCCCCCCGCTGCGGCACCAACCACTGCTGAGGTTCCCGCACCAGCTCCAAGCAAGAGTAAGAGCAAGAAGAAGTCTAAGAAACACAATGCTCCCGCTCCTTCACCTGATCTACTTGGACCTCCAGCTCCACTACCGGAGCTCCCGGACCTAGCCTCGACGCTTTCTCTCCAGGCCCTTCCGTCGCTGCGGATGAGGTACATTTGACTCTCTTTTCACATTTCAATCTGTTTGGCTTATAAGTTATCGCACCACAATCCGCTTCACCAGATCTGAAAATTTAGACTAGCTACACGGCGTAATTTTGTAACTGTGGCTCAAAGCTTATAATTTAGAATCTGAACTGTGGCTCAAAATGGAGTGTTGATCTCGTTTTGGCTCCAACCAAATGAGTCAACGAAATCATATTATACACGAAGACGATGAATGGTACCTGCGATACTAATTTTGTGTATATTTATATAAAAAAAATTGCAGAGTGGAGCAGAGAAGATGAATAGCGTGCAGAAGATAACAGGAGGATTGGCATTGGGATGGGCAGTCATTGCTTTGATCTGGGAGAGACTTTGGCTTTGATGCTCTGCTTTATTTTATTTTATTAATTTATTTCTCATGTGATGCTACTATATTCATTTTACTCTGCCACATTTGCTTCGTGTATTCTTTGGGGAAAGTTTGAGTTTCTTGTTTTCCTCTTGTAATTTTCATTACTTTATTTCTATTTGGATTTTGGACTATATTGGTTTTTAGGATATGCTTTTCTTCTTTTTCCTTCCCATTTTATAATTCACAACTACGAAAATCCTTTTGCTCTTTTCGGTTCTCTTGATTCTTTTATTAAAAAACTAAAGTTTGCATTGAAAAGTACAAATTTTGATTAAAAAAGTATTTTTACTATAATGTATAAATAATCTAAATTTATTCTTAGGACAAACTACTTAAATGATCACTTAATTAATGTTGATATAACTATCATATTTTTAATTTGGCAATATGATGGCAACTACTTAAGTGATCTTAGCAGCCACTTAATTATGTGAATCTTTGACTCGTCAGTAATTAACAATAGTCCTATTATGAAATCACTTAAATAATTATGTGATCGTTAAAATTAAAAGTATGACGATCATATCAATATCAACTCCACAATTAAGTACTCTTCTTCTTACCTATAAATTAAATTATTTTTATAATTTTTTTCAATACTTAAATATGCTCAAATTTACAACCTTCTATACATTGTAACGACTGTTAGGGTTACAGTGATGATCGGAAAAGTGAACGGAGGTGAACATAACTTATCATATGAGAGAAGAGAATGAGAGTGACAATAATTTAGGATTTCTCAAACAAATAGCAAACATTTTTTTTTCATGATACAAAATAAGCCTAACGAGTCAAACTTTTCATTGATACAAAATATAAGCCTAACTAGCCTAAGCCCACTAGCCCAGTACATCAAATATACAGGCATGTGTAACAAATTTAACACGTCGACCTAACAAGTAAACTTATAGTCAATTTGACAGATCTTTTGAAAAATGATTTTTAAAAGTATTATAAAAGTTTCAAAAGTGATGGTTAAAATTATAGTTCAAAATTTAAATGTTTGAGATTGTTGTTAAAAAATGAATTTGAAGGAATAAAATCTCCATTGTAGACATTATGTATGAAAATATAAAGTGAGTTTATAATTTAACTATTTGGGATATTATTATTATATATAAAATATATCAATTTAAATTATAATAAAAATATAAAAATAAAAATATATTTTATAATAACTCACTATTAATCTTTCAATAAATAAATCATTAATTTTATTTATTTTTAAGTAATTAAAATAAATTATTATGTAATAAATTATTTTTTAAGGATGTTAATATTAAATTATTAAAATAAAATATAAATATATAATTGAATAGATCTCATGTATTAATATGAGTAAAATTATAATTTGATTCCAAACACTAAATTAAAAATGAAAAAGCTAAAAATCATAACTTTTGTGATTAGTTTGAAACCATCGTTTCTAGCATAATTTTTTTATCTTTTACTTTTTTGACATTGATTTTACTGTCGAAACAAGTTTTTTAATTAAAAATAATTTTAGAAAATCATACAAAACGAGGTCTTATTGGTTGGACTAACAAAGTTATTAACTAACCCAAAACTAAAGTTGTTCATTACTTACAACTACTTTCTAATAAGTATAGAGACAAAATAAAACATATTTGTATAAATGATCATTTATCTTTTATGTTTTTAAAATATTTTAATTTTAGATTAAAATAATTATATTGAAGGTTAGTTGACTAATAATTAATTAACAATTAACATATATTTTTAATGTGTTATTTTTATATATATTCAATTAATGATGTAACATATATCACATCATCATTTTAACATACATAACATAATACGTCATCATTTTGAGTTATATATACACCCTCACACATATATCATCAATACAATTTTTTAATATGTGGTGTGAGCATAAATAAATTTTTAAGTTGAATACAATTAAAAAATATATAATTATTATGAGAAAGATTAGAGGGTAACATGTTCATCCTCACACAAACGTGGACATGCTAACAGATCTCAATTATTTAATAATTATTATTTTATCTTTTAATAATTGATTGGTCTAATTGTATGGGATGATATGTCTTTTAATATTTAAATTTTAAATTATTAGAGTTTAGAGTTGTTATTTTTTAAATCCTTAAGTTTAAGCACCCCATATGTTAAGGTATCAGTTTTTATTATCAAATGATTGAAAGTCTTTGAACACATACTATCTTATTTCACTCCAGGTTTATAAAAAAACTAAATCATGATATTATGATTTGAATAAATAAAATATAATAACATCAATGAGTTTGATTCAAGTGATAAACAACTTGATATCGTTTAAGTAAGTTTCGAGTTGGAGTCCTTGTGTATGCAGAAAATCCCTATTGGGAGACTCACTCAACAAAACTAGGTGTATGACCCGAGCCTTTCTGAATTATTCCAGACGAAAACCTTGAAAATGAGGAGGACAACCAAAAAAAAAAATTAATTAAAATAACCACTTAAAGTGAATTTTTATAGTACTTAATAATCATTTAAAGTAAATCTTTATAATATTTAGTTTGAACTAGTCAATTAGTAGATTAAATATTTATGATTATAGAAAAAGATATTTTTATTTTTAAATTTATTATGAAACATATGGATATCATAATACAAAATCTTAGAACAAAATGATAATGGCCTTATGGCTATGAGCGGCTCATGTACACCACACTTGCTGTCGGTGTAGAACAAAACAGTTATATTTTAGGAAAATTATAATTTTTAATAATAAAAATAATTTTATTTTTATTTATTAATTTTAATATGCACAATTATTTGATATATTGACACTGTAAAATTTTATTACCCGAGTAAAACTATTATTTTTATTTTTTCAGTTTATTAAATATAACTTTAAAACAACAATAGTTAATTAGTAGTTTATTTATGTTTAAAGGATTAATGTTCCGTTTGGCCCCTGATTTTGTTTTTTTTTTGTTGTTGTTGTAGTTTGGCCTTTGATTTTAGCTTTGAGTTGCAAGGTGGCACCTAATTTGGCATTGAGCTGCAATTTTTCTCCTAACTTTTTTGAAATACAATTTGACCATTGAGTTTAGCTTTGATATGCAGTGTTTCTCTTAATTATTTTTTTGCATTTTAAAATAATAATTAAAAACTTATTTATAAATTTAAAATGATCTAAAGAGTTATGATTAATATTTTAAATTATAATTTAATTTAAATTAAAATATTTTATTAAGGAAAAAGTTATATTAAAAAACCAAGGGCTAAATTATAGAAGAAAGTTAAAGCCAAAGGGCAAATATAACATAATGCTAAAATCAGAGGCCAAGAATGCATATTAAAATCAAAGTAAAGGGTCAAAGGTTTTATTAACCCAAATTTAAAAGACGGGCGAGGGAATGAAGGTGTAGGAACTAGGAAGTGGTCCAAATGGACCCACAAAGAGAAAAATCATGCGCCAAAGGCTAACAGACAAATACGTACGTACGACTCTCATTATGAACAGAGCAAGCAAAGATTGCACTGAGTTAATGGCAGCTAATTGCTAAATCTTGTTCTTTCCTAATCCATTGTCGTTGCTGAGACGTCACTTCGCTTATCACAAAGTCGAGAGTCTTCCTTTTATATATTCCATCTTTACCAAATCCGATTGCAGATTGCAGTTGTTGCGGCTGCCAATTGCAGAAACAACAGTTAACTTTGGGGGCGGGGGGGAACTTGATTTTCATGGATGTTTCCAGTTTACAGAATTGGTACCTTTTTTTTCCTTGTTTCAAGTTTTCTCTCTTTTGTTTTCCACTGGTTCTACTGTATGTTTTTGGGAAACATGCAGTTATGGAGTTGACCTGAAAAGGAAACCTGGAGTTTAGAATTTGTAGATATTTGAAGTAGTGAATGTGCGACGTAGTATTTTCGATTTAGAATAATTTTGGGGTTCAATAATTATTTTGGGAATGTCATTCATAGGGTGTAATCCAGGTGAAAACTGTTAACACTGTGAAATTGGAGCTAAATAGAGTTCGAGTTAGATTAGGAAGCTCGCTTTAGCTTGTTAGAATTTGACATAGAATTAGAAAGGGTTCCATTTTTGACATTTGGGAACAAAATCACAGATTGTTCATGAGAAGAAGACTCCCTTTTTATTCAGATTCCGATGTTTTCTCTTCTTTTGTAGCTTAGCTGACTCCCATATTGTTTGTTTCTTGTAGCTAGTTATCTTGATTCCTGTAGGAGGCATGATGTTATTACGAATTCCGCGGTTCTATCATGGTTTTCTGAGGTCAATTTTCAAGCATTCCTGGTTTCATATGAAACTCTTGGGTATTAAGTGATGAGACTGTCTTCACTGCATTTTATTGATTTTTTGTTTTCATTCAGGCTAAGGTTCAAAATTCTTGTCAAGAGAACTGTAACATTGTGGTTTCTCTAAACCAGTTGAAAAATGATGATATTCCTCCACTGATCGACGTATTTCTAGATATAGACTCGTCTGATATCGATGCTTTTCACGTCCGCCATCATGGAACAACTTCTGTCCTGAATGAAGAACATGTATTTTCTTTGATGAATGCAATCAAACTAAAGCTGAGACTAACTCTAAAGAAGGACTTTCTCCGGTCTGTAATGCTTCTATCCCTTACAATTAAGTTTTAATTACTTCCAAGATCAATTACTTGTTATCTTCCAGTTATTGTCTAGCTCCCAACGATTCTACTAAGAATCTGTGGAATTTCATTGCAATGATGCTTTAGGCTGGTATATAAGTGTTACCGATAAGATTGCAAAATGTCTGATGATTATCCTGTTGAATATCGTTTTACCATTGGTCCGCTTATTATTGACATTGTATAAATTCATGTGTTATGATTGCATGTATTTTTTCCAGCTATTTTTCTACTGTTATCAAACAATGCTAGTTTCCAAGGATGTTCTTTGTATATGCCATTTGGACAATAACGAAAACTGTTCAGGGATTTCTTCAATGTTGGTATACCTTGCTGTGTTTTAAAGTTGAGGTCTAATAATATCCAAAAACTCGACATGATTGGAAGGTTTATGCGATTGCACACACTGAATTTGGACTTCTGTACTTCACTCACTAGTTTGCAAAAAGACTGCTTTTCTTGCATGCCAAGTCTGATGCATCTATCACTGTGTGAGACGAGAGTTGCTAATCTCTGGACAACAACCGAAGTTCTAGCAAAACTTCCTTCTTTGTTGGAACTACGGTTCCAAAATTGTTTGTGTTGAAAGGATACTGGACCTTGTCATGTGTCATCTAGTGAGGAAGAAAATCTCGATGACAAGGACTGCTCAAATACTATTAATATCTGAGGAAGACTCTTTGGCACTGTAGTTGATACATTGAAAAGCTATGATTCATCGGAAGTTGATGAACCTAAGTTTTTGGGTTACCTTCAAAACCGATTGGAAAATTTAGCCGGAATGCTTCATAATTTATCTGCAGAGCTGAAATTGCAAAATGAGGTAAGATGATAATATGCTTGTAGTATTTGTCTATAGTGATCAGAAAAGTTTATATTTCTTTATAATTGTTGTTTATGTAACAGATTATCCTTTACATGTGCAGAAGCAGTCACCAAAGAATGTTTCAGGCATACTGAAGGAAGATATTTGGCATCATCCTTCACCCATATGCTTTGAGAAACATTATAGGGAGTACATGGTTGCTTCCTTACCTTGTTTAGCTGTATTAGATAATCTGCCGATCACAGAGAAGGAGAGGGAAACGTTTCAGACTTCTATGAGTACTTGCCATACAAACATAAAAAAAAAAAGTGTTGTCAACATTTTGCAGAAGCGTGAAATGGGAAAAAGTGGTATTTACTGTCGAAACTCTTCAAAACTGAAGCAGACTTATTGTTATGGAAAGAGCCAATGTTTCTTCTCAAGTTCTCTTAGTGCTGCTAGATTCGGTTCTTCTATTTGGCCCTTCTTACATCCTGTATCCAGCTTTAGCCATATATCTAAAGGGGAAAATAAGGGCTTCGTCCAAGGCAATTTGAGTACCATCCTTCCAACTCCAGCCTTATGGCTTTGGGAACTTTAGATGGTGAAATAGTCGTTATCAATCATGAGACTGGGAATCTTGTCGGTTATAATTCATCTGTAGGAATGATTAACAGTGTTCTAGGACTCTGCTGGCTCAAGAAATATCCATCCAAGGTATTTTCTGATTATATATTTTTTATCTATAGTTCTTAATTACACAAGTGCTCCATTTTTTCCAGCCTGAACTAAAATTTTTTCTAAGAAGCATTTTGTGTTTTATAGTATAATATTGTGAATATCACTACATAAATGAGTTGAATTAGATAGCAGTTAATCGCTTAATCTGATATTCATTCAAGCAACAACCATGAGCATTATAAAAGAATAACTTGTTATATTTTCAGCTGATCTATTTTACTTCTAAATTTGGCTATCACTGATTTTTCTGTGTTAAACAATCATCTTGTACCTGGATTCGACAGCAGTTGCTTGAAGTTGTTTGATGTTAATCATATGCTGGCCAGACTAGGAGGCGCATCTTGTGGTTCTGATAAAGTTAATTTTGAAGATTTCAAACAATTAACTTCTGTTCATGTCAATGCAACGGATGACCAATTCCTTGCCAGTGGGTACTCAAAAGGCTTTGCTCTATATGGCATTAGCACCGGGAGACGTTTACAAGTGTTTACTAATATGCATCGAGAAGCTATTAATGTCGCTAAATTTGCTCATCACTCTCCTTTTATGTTCGCTACATCTTCATTTTACAAAGATGTGAAGATGTGGGACTTGAGGGAGAGACCCAATAACCCTTGCTATACTGCTTCAATCTCCCTAGGAAATGTTATGGTTTTCTTTTCACCTGATGATCTCTATCTCCTTGTGTCCGCCATTGATAATGAGGTACATAGTTCTGTATTAACTGTTGCTTTATACTATAGACTACGCCTATTTGAGAGAACTTATAATATTTTGGGCGATGATGAGCTTTGTTGTGCTTGAAAAGGATTAAAAGACTAATGAAACCTGTTTGGTTTGTGTTGGGACCGTCGGTGCACCCCATGACGCAGCGGAAACAAAATTCGACGGTCTCACCAACGATCCAAGTACGGAAAACCGAAATCGAGAGGAAAGGATGCGAATACTTACAAGAGTTCCTTGAAAAACAGCAAAGGCAGCAACGACTAATGGTGATCACGAACTATTTGAATCGTAAGCCTTCACGAAAACACGTCGCAACCTCTACTTGGTTCACCCGATTGAGAGCAAAATTTATTTTTTCCAAAAGCAGTTTTGAGAAAAACGGCTGAAGAAGAAGTGGTTGTTAGACCTTACATCACTTTTAAATATATCAATTACCCTAACCTCTTAGAGATTTTAAGTTATTTCGAATTAATAAAAAAAATCTTATTTAATTAATTCAAAATAAATATCCATTAAAGACTTATAATCTGAATTATAATATTTAACGTTTATTTAAAATCTTATTTAATTATTTCGAATTAAATATTTATTAAAAAAGTTGTAATCAAAATTACATTCTTTTAATGTTTACTTATTATATTCGTGATAATTAAAACCATATGTATATCAAATATACATATATTAACTCCATACATATTTTAATATCATGCAACAAATTGTATATATTTGTTTATTTCAATCCTAGGGTGTGAACCTGAAGGTTCTTGTAACGTTAGTAGTAATTATTAGAATAATTCTAATATTATATACAATGAGTGACATCTAAAAATATATCATTGTCACCTAAGTTACAAGAAATTATGATTCAACATATTATCTTCGTGATTAACTCTTTTATATATTACATCCTTTTGTCCATTATATCTAGAATAGATACAAGTCTTAGAATAGTCACACTTGTATAACATATCTATTGTTTCTTGATATCTAGAGTAAACTATAATTAACGAATAATTTGTTATATCTCATATCAACTTATTCGAGTATGACCATGCATTTCTAGTATCACTCAATCAAGTGACATGTGATATATTTCCTATTATGTAGGAAGGACAAATCATATCTTAATCAAACACACCCACTACATATATCGACATATATTCAATAACAATCTTTATAGTGCAACAGTTACGGAGCATGTTTAACTGTATCAAAACATACAACAATATATGTTGGGATAACATTAATCTCAAGTTTGAGGATCATACATATAGTCATCACCATGAGCAATGTTATGACCATTACATAATAATCCAAGACATATGCTCATGGTGGGTCAATTCAATATATTGTTCTCTAATAATATAATCATGTATCAATTCTGACATCTCTATGTAAATGACAACTCGTTGTCATCAATCAATAATATGTTAGGCTTAAGCGTATTATTATTGTCTATACCCATAATGATACTTGACTATGGATCTTTTAATAATAATAATAATGTTATTATATGGACTTTATTATATTTTAGTTTATTTTAAACACAAACATATAACTGAACATAATAGTGGCAATGCCTTTATTCAATAAAATCGGTAAATAAATGTATATTACAATCATCACATGATTGGTCTTTGGGCATACTCTAACAATCTCCCACTAGCATTAAGACCAATCACTCACATATCTAATACCGAGTGACTCAGTGTGATGATCATGCCTCTGCTGTGTAAGAGGCTTCGTCAAGGGATCAACAATGTTGTCATCCGTGTGTACTCTGCATATTTCCACATCTCCTCGATCTATGATCTCTCGAATGAGATGAAAGCGCCTAAGAATATGTTTGGATTGTTGATGAGATTTGGGTTCCTTTTCTTGTGCAATGGCTCCATTATTGTCACAACGAAGTTCTACAACATCTGATATGCTGGGAACAACCCCTATTTCTGATATGAACTTCTTGATCCAAACAACCTCTTTTGTTGCTTCGCTAGCTGCAATGTATTCAGCCTCTATTGTAGAATCAACTAATGTGTCTTGCTTCGAACTTTTCCAGCTCACAACACCTCCATTATGACAAAACACAAAACTGGATTGTGATCGTGAGTCATCCTTGTCAATTTGGAAGCTATCATAAGTATAACCTTTTATCTTAAGCTCTTCCTCCCCTTCATAAACAATAAATTTATACTTAGTTCTTCTTAAGTACTTAATGATATTTTTAACCGCAACCCAGTGATTTTCACTAGGGTTTGCTTGATACAAACTCGTCATGCTTAAAGCATACGATACATCTGGTCGAGTATATATCATGCCATACATGATATAACCAATAGCCGAAGCATATGGAATTGTTGAAAACATTTTGATGTTTCGATATAACAAATTAAGTGTTATTAAATTTAAGATTTTATAATCATTTTAAAGTATATTCGATTAAATTATTCGAATATCACAAATATTACTCCAAGTTTATCAAAAGCCAATTTCAAACTTACTAAAGTGTAAAAATATATTTTAAACTTAAAATAATTTTGAAACAAATTTTACAAATTATTTCGAACCAAAATCGAGCCAAAAATCAATTTTATAAAGTGTTGAGTTAATCGATTGACGGAATCGGCCAAGAGGGGGTGAATTGGCAATTAAAATTTTGTGGAAACTTTTGCAGAAAATTGAAAGTAATTGCACAACGATTTAGAGTGGTTCGACTTTCTCAATCAAAGTCTACGTCCACTACCTTAGCTATCCACACTAAGGATTTTCCAACAAATTCACTAATTTGTTCTTTCTTTTGAGGCCAAAGAGATAACCTTACAACACCCTCAAGAATATACCCCAATTCTTGAGAACACTCTTTCCCAAAGAGAAGATTACAAATTTGCAAACTTACAAGGAAATCCTCACAAGGTAGATTGTTTGCACAATTCTAGAACAAAGAAAATAACACTCAAGAATGAATACAATTGAGTACAAATAGTTTTCTTGAAAGAAAACTGAATATTGAATGAAAAATAGGCTTGAATGCACAAACTTGAGGTTTGATGCTTTCTCTTTGATTCTCTATTGATTCTAGTTGCTTGTTGTTTCTTATTCTTGATCAATGGCTTCTAAGCTTGTTTAAATACACCTTGAATCACTTTTGAACGTTGGAGATGATTAGTGGAGTCAATAGAGCCGTTTAAGTGTGAAAACAATTAATTAAAGCAGTTGGGAGCATCATGCATCGGTGCATCGGTGTAAAATTCAAATATTTGACTGTTGGACCCTTAGTGCATCGGTGCACTAAGAGTGCATCGATGCATCAAGTGCATTCGATGTTTCAAAATAGCCAGAGTGCATCGATGCATGGTTGGTGCATCGATGCATCAAATGCATTCGATGTTTTCATAAAATCCTCAGTGCATCGGTGCATGGTAAGTGCATCGATGCATGAAATGCATTTGATGTTCAATTTAATTCATGGTGCATCGATGCATGGATTGGTGCATCGGTGCATCACTCTGAAAAATTGATTTTAGGCTTGATTTTGGTTCAAAATA